TCATGCGAGTGTCACAGGCACTCAGGGCCCCACTTGCAGGGGCTCTCAGCCTCTCTTGCAAGCAACGGGTGCTTGTGTACGCGTGCACGCCCACACACCTATCCCTCCCACAAAAATATCCCCTCTTCCCCCCCTTGCCACTCTCTCCAGACCGCCAACCCGGAAAGAGTGGGGAACTCTGGACTAGATGACCTCCAAGGTCCCTTCCAACACTGTTATTCTTAGGCATGAAAGCAGATTGGGTTACTCTGAGCCAGTTACTCTTTCTCAGCCCAACCCACCTCACAAGGTTGTTGTTGTTATGGGGAAAATAGGAAAAGGAGGGTATGGTGGATATACGTTCACTACCCTGAGTTATTCATAATAATAACAAAAGCGGGATAGAAATAAATAAAAAGGCCACATTTAAAAAACCCTGAGGGAAACCAGAGGGGTTGGGCTCCCTTCTTCTAGGGCAGTGGTAATCAACCTGTGGGTTGGGACCCCATTTGGGGTCGAACGACCATTTCACGGGGGTCGCCAAACAACGCAGTCTGCCATTTTCCCCCCTTTTCCTTAGCTGTGCTACTCCCTTTTATTCTATTGGCTTTTGAAAGCCAATAGAATTAGACTCTCTTGAATAGAGTCTCATTCTATTGGCTTTCAAAAGCCAACAGGAATTGTCCAGGCTGTCTCTGCCCTGCTGAGCCCGCCAAAAGTCCCATTCTGCAAACGGTGCTGCACCAGTTGAGTAGTCCTCGACTTACGACTGGTTGAGTAGTCCTCGACTTACGACCGGTTGGGGGTCGCGGCATTAAAAAGGTTGAGAACCACTGTTCTAGGGCAGGGGTAGGCAACCTTGGCCCTTTTATGACTCATGGACTTCAACTCCCAGAATTCCTGAGCCGGCATGGTTCAGCATGGAAACCTCTCCATTTCTCCTCAGCGTGGCTGGCTCAGGAATTCTGGGAGTTGAAGTCCACGAGTCATAAAAGAGCCCAGGTTGCCTACCCCTGTTCTAGGGTGTTCAACCAGAGGCTGGATTCTTCAAGATGCCTTTGCCCCAGAGTAGAATACAGGGAGATGCTCCAAAGGTGGATAATTCTCTTCCCTAAAATTCTTCAGAAAAGCTGAAACAAATCCTGTTTTATTAAGGGCTGTCTCACAGAAGAGCCACAGCGCCCTCTGCTGAGAAGAAAAGGCTATCCTGGAAAAACCAGGAGATTGGGATTGGGAGCGGTGAGTGGGATTGCTGAAGAAATGGGGGTCTTCAAGAGTGTTGGGAAGACCATCCTTTTGCTTTACTCCCTACCTGGGTTATGCAAAATACAGGCTTCATGTTTCTCATGCAATGTCATGAGAACGTGATAGGATAAGAAGACGGGTCAGACAGGGATGTATTCTGTCTCCACTGTTGTTCAATATCTCCTCTGAGTCAATCTTCAACGAGGCACTGGAGAACATCAATGCTGGCCTCAAAGTAAACGGTGTTTGGATCAACAACTTAAGATATGCTGACGATACAGTTCTGCTTGCCAGTAAGCATGAAGACCTTCAGCTCCTCATCAACAGAGTCACAGAAATATCTGAAAAATACGGCTTGAAGCTTAACACCTCAAAAACCAAGATCATGGTTGTCAGCAAAGAACCTGTTAATTTACCACCAATAAATTCAGAAGGAATACCACTAGAAAAAGTTGAAAGGATCACGCACCTCGGTTCAAATCAACATGAAAGCTGGGACATGACCGTTGAAGTAAAGACAAGGATAGAAAAAGCCCGAACAGCATTCTTCAAAATGAAAAAGGATCTTCTGCAGTCACAACATAAGCCTAAGACTGAAAATCAGGCTTGTCAGATGCTATATTTTTCCTATCCTGCTCTATGGAGTAGAGAGTTGGTCTCTGACAGAAGGCCACCTGAAGAGACTAGAAGCATTTGAAATGTGGATTTACAGGCGGCTGTTATGTATAAGCTGGGTTGACAAGATCAGAAATGAGGAGGTGATAAGCTGCCTGGGAAAGCCAAGGGAAATAATAATAATAATAATAATAATAATAATAATAATAATAATAATAATAATAAAGTTGGAAGGGACTTTTGAGGTCTTCTAATCCAACCTTCTACTCAAGTAGGAGATCTTATACCATTTCAGAGAAATGGATGTCCAGTCTCTTCTTAAAAACCTCCAGTGTTGGAGCATTCACCGCTTCTGGAGGCAGGTTGTTCCATTGGTTAATTGTTCTCACTGTCAGGAAGTTTCTCCTTAGTTCTAGGTTGCTTCTCTCCTTACTTAGTTTCCATCCATTGCTTCTTGCCCTACCCTCAGGCGCTTTGGAGAATAGCTTAAAGCAATTAAAAAACTGAAAGTTAGAATATTTCGGACATGTGATACGACACCCAGAAAAATACGGCATACTCCATTTAATCCTCCAGGGAAAGATTGAAGGCAAACGAGGTCCAGGCAGAAGAAGAACATTGTGGCTTCGAAATCTAAGGGATTGGTTTGGACAAAACTCAGCACCCTTTTTTGTGTGGCTGCTGATAAAAACAGGATCGCCAACATGATCGCCAACGGCAGCACCTGCATTTTCTGTGTCACATGAGAAAAGTACATCTTCCTTCTCCTATCCTTACCACTTTCTACTGGAGGATGATCGAGAGCATCCTGTCATACAGCATCACAGTCTGGTTTGGAAGCATCCCTGCTTCAGACAGGAAGGCGGTGCAGAGTGGTGAGGATGGCCGAAAAGATCATTGGTAGTTCCCTCCCTCCCATCCAGGACATAGCATATAAGCGATGCTTGAGCAAGGTCCGCAGGATTGTCTGGGACACTACACATCCTCTTCACAACCTGTTTTCCTTGTTACCTTCTGGGAGGAGGCTTTGTGGTATCCCTAGCAGAACATCCAGATTCAGCCATAGTTTCATTCCTTACAGCATTAATCTTGTGAACTCTCAGGCTTCCTCCTTCCATTTTATATTCAAGATGGACAGTATTTAATATGTATTTGTTATGTATATGTAGGGGTGTGGGTCTATACATATGTTGTATGTACTATTGTTGAAGGAAAAGTCTTCATCATGGTTCAGTCCAAACTGGGAATAAACAACATGGCGACTGCTTTAGAAAGAAGGTTGCAGTTTATTAAAGAGGAGAGCCAGACAGGAAGATGGCTCTGGAAGAAAAGAGAGGGAGTGGGTTTTTATACCCTCTGGAGCCTTTTGTTTGGAGTTGTATTCTGTTCCTGTTTGAGGCATGAACTTTGACCTAAGTCTGAGTGTACCATTTGGTATCTGTGGGTTAATCTTATTATGTCCCATCTTAGAGTTTGGGTGCGGTATGTAGATTTTAGGTGTCTTTGTCTTCTTAATCTTCTAGCTGGAAGCCTCCAACCTTCCTGAACAATTTACATCTGCATTTCTACAGAGCTGGTTTCTGCTTGGGGGAGGGAGACTTGGGGCTATTAAGAAAACTGGGCATGCTTTTCTACCTCTTTAAGATCCTTTGAGGAAATACATTTTTCTGCCCTTTTAATATTTCCTTCTCTGCGGGGATGATTTCCCACAGTATGTTTAGGGGTGTGTCATGTATGTGTTTCACTTTGAGAGCGGGCAACTAAATTTCATTTTTGATGTGTGCCATTGTGCTGCCCAGTAAAAAAATGACAATAAAGGTTAGTTAGGATAACCTATCTTATCTACACATTTTTAACCCAGGGGTCTTCAAACCTGGCCCTTTTATGACTTGTGGATTTCAACTCCTAGAATTCCTCAGGCACACTGGCTGAGGAATTCTGGGAGTTGAAGTCCACAAGTCATAAAAGGGCCAAGTTTGCAGACCCGTTTTAACCTGTTGTTTCCAACGTCTTATGAACACCCAGAAATTGGCTTAAATCAAGGCCCCAGCCAAGGATGTGCCCTTGAAAGGTACACTCATCAAATAGACTGAATTCACACAATACCCTCAGACACAAGTCAGGCCTTGTGCAAAGGTGCCTGTTAAGCCTTCTTCCTTAAGGGTTCTATTTAAATCTAATTTCCACATTTGTCAGCTGCATACATATACACCCTGACAAATCGAATCTGGAAAAGTCAAGGGAGAGATGGAACATCACTCTGCACATGCACAGAGGCACTATTTAAAAATAAAACAAAACTTTTGGGCTCCTCTAGCCCTTTCCACTCGCTCCCCCAAGTCCTCCATCCGCCCATAGTGCTGCGCGGTCACAGTTACTCGGCGCATGCGCACCCCTACTCTAGCCAAGTGCCCAGACCGTATATTCCCCGCCATCTCTTATCTAACAACCAACCTTGCTTTAAAAAAAAAAAAAAAAAAGGGCGGGTCCCACATAATAATTAAAAAACCCTCTCTGCCTCCTCACACGCCACCAAAACCCCTCAGACTTCTTCCCACCCCTCCTCCCCTCTCCGATTGGTCATCCTGCGGCCGGCGGGACCAATCCTTTCCCGGCTCAGCGGCGGCGCCCCGCTGTCCCCGCCTCCCGCCCGAGGGGGCTCGCTCGCCCATTGGCCAGGCCACGTCGCGTCTCTCTCCCGCGCGTCCAATCCGACTTGTCCGGTGTTTTCTGTCAGTCACTGTGTGGTGGTTGGAGGGAGAGGCGGGGGGAGCCGTTACGCACCCGCCCGCGCGCGCGCCCGCCTTCCTATTGGGCGCGGCCGCCGTCCGTCCCCGCTGGTGCTCGCAGGAAGGTTCGGTTGACCGCGTGTTGTGAGGCGAGCTGGGACGTTGGGTTGGCGTCACGGGGCTGGGTCGCCGTCGCTGAGGGGGCGGCGGAGCAACAGCAGCAGCCGGAGCCGCCGCCGCCGCCGCCGCGGCCGGGCGGCCGTGAGCGCGAAGCCGCCGCCACCGCCGCCGCCTGAGCAGGCCGAGCCTCCCCGTCCGTCACCACCTCCTCCTCCTCGTCCGCCGCCGCCTTCTGTGGCGGCGGCTGCGGCGGCTCCGCCCGTGCCGGTGGCAGCGGCAGCAGCAGTAGCAGCGGCGGCAGCAGCAGCAGCCATGACGCTGGAGTCCATGATGGCCTGTTGCCTCAGCGACGAGGTGAAAGAGTCGAAGCGCATCAACGCCGAGATTGAGAAGCAGCTGCGGAGGGACAAGCGCGACGCCCGCCGGGAGCTCAAGCTGCTCCTGCTCGGTCAGTTCGGCGGGCAAGGGGGAGGCCGGGCGGGCGGACGGGCGGGCCTGTCTCCCGGGGAGGAAACGCGGAGGCGATGCTGCCTCGGCTGGTGCGGGAAGGCCCTATCCCTCCGCCGGCCCCCTCCCCCCCATCCCCGGGCTCCTCGGCCGGGCTTATTTCTGCTGCGCATTTCCCCGCCTCGAGCGACGCCCGGCCGGAGGGGTCCTCCTTCCCCGCGTCCCTCCTCCTCGGCATCGGGCGGCGTTTTTGCTTTCCTCGGGGCTGGGAAGGACACCCCTCGAAGTTAGGGTCCCTGGAGGGCTACGTGTGTACATCCCTGTGCGCTGACACGTGTGTCTGTATACATGGCTGGGTGATTTAAACGCATCCAAAAGGGGATATGCGGATATATGTTTGCAGTCGTATGTATATACAGGTGTGTGCGTGCGATGTATACAATTATAGGTATATGTGTGTGTGCATGTGATACATACATGCCTGATGTGTGCACACAATTATTGATGTACATGTGTATATGATATGTACACACAGTTATTGGTGTACATGTGTATATGATATATGTACACAATTGCTGTACATATGTATATGATATATATACACAATTGGTATACATGTGTATATGATATGTACACAATTGTTGGTGTACATGGGTATATGATATATACACACAATTGGTGTACATGTGTATACGATATGTACACAATTGTTGGTGTACATGTGTATATGATATATACACACAATTGTTGGTGTACATGTGTCTGATACATATACACAATTGTATGCACACGTGTATGTGATATATACAAACAAGTATATATGTTTGCAATCATGTGTGTACAGGTGTGTGATATACAATTATATGTATACATGTAATATATGCATGTCTGATATATGCACACAATTATTGGTATACGCGTGTGATGTCTGTGATGTATACACACAAAATTATATGTATGCATGTGTGTATATATGATATATACCAGCATTTGTAGGTGTGCAATCATGTATAAATCTGTGTGACCATGTGTGTGCAATCGTAAGTATGAGATGTATATACTAATTTTGTAATATATGCAATTATATGTATATTAAATATGCGATTATTATGTATGCATTTATAGATTTGTGTGGTATGTGCAGTATTGTGTATATACACAGACATGCATCTGCAGTTGTTTGCATGTATCTCTCTGTGCCTTCTTTATTACTCTACTTACTATTTCCTTTCTGGTAGCTGTTTGTCTTCCTCACTTTCTCTGGGTCCTGCTGGTTTCAGGTGGCTTTTCTCCTTTTCTCCTTCCTTAATGGTATTTATGAGATAGATGTTTTTCTCTCCAGGGTGGATGCCCTACCTGCCTTTCTCTTTGCTTGTGTCTAATCCACCCTGCCATCTCCCTGCTCAGGCTGTGTGTCTCAAGGGTCCTTTCCTCTGCTTTTTCATCCCCACAAGGAAGAGAGCCAGGACAGGCCTCTGAAGGGGGGGGGGGGTTCAAGGCTTCTTTGCTGTCCAGGTGGACAGTTCAGGTGCTCCTCTTAGGGAGGGGTTGGTTTCTTTTAGACCAGTGGTTCTCAACCTGTGGGTCGGGACCCCATTTGGGGTCGAATGACCATTTCACGGGGGTCGCCAAACCACGCTGTCCGCCATTTTGTTCCCTTTTCCCTAGCTGTCCTACTCCCTCTTATTGGTGGCCACACCCACTTGGGGGTCACCACAACATGGGGAACTGTATTATGGGGTCATGGCATTAGAAAGGTTGAGAACCACTGTTTTAGACAAAGTCCTTCATGGTCTTTGTGAGTCTTTAATATTCACAGCAGCCTTCTGAGGTAGGTCAAAGGGGGAGAGTTTCATTTCCTCCTCAACACTTCCCCAGAAATTTCACAGTGGAAATCAGTGGAAATCTGTGCAAGGGCCGTTTTCTCCTCTTCCTGCCATTTGTCGTTCCTCCATCCTCTGAATCCCATGCGATGTTAGGGTGGGATTTATTTGGCTTCTATTTCCACCTCACCCTCATTTCCTGACGGATCAGCTAAACGTTCTGAGCAAGTCATTGCTGGGCTTGTTTGATCACTGATGGTGTGATGTTTTACTGAAGCAACTATAACTGGCAAGAGGAAGAGTTTTCTAGAATTTGTGTGCACTAAAATCTTGAGGATTTTTATATCCTCATTTGCACTCTTTTTTCTGTCTTGACTCTAACTTTCGCTCACTGCCATCCAATTTCTTTTTATATTATTTGTGGGGCATTGCATCCTGTTCCAACCAGCCTTATTTCTGTCACTTCCCAAGTGTTTTCTCTATTCTAATTCTGTGATGTTCAACTTTTTTTAAAAAAACATAATGTACCTTATGGTCAGTTTGTTTTGCACTTTGCTTTGCCTGGCTGTTGTTGCGTATACATACTTAGTAATATCTCAAAAGCCAAAATATTGAGTTTGTTTAGAAAAAAGATTGAAAGGAGAGGGGAGGAAGTTACATTGATTTAAATCACAGCCTATAAAGGAAACTCTGTCCATTTGCACTCTGTACAGGAGTTTTATATTATAATGTAAGGAACTGCAGTCAGTTTTGTAAAAAAAAAAATTGCTGAAGTTTATTACGCGTTAATTTCTGAGATTAATATTCCATTATCCTTGCAGCTCTTAGAAAATACTTCTTCGTGTTTGAGCTTACACTTTTCTAGCCTTGTGGATCATTCTGCGTCTTCCTTCCAGAAAAAGGGATGGTAAAAAGTGCAAAGGGCATAATTTGTTAAGGCAAGGGAACTGGTTGATAGGCTTCATGCAGATTGAGGATGGCAATTCTCAAAAGAAACAGAGAAGTTTTGAAGTAGCCCTGGCAATAATTATTAGATGTGTGGTCCAAAGTATGGTGGGAGAGGAACCGGGTATCAAGAAGAGTAGGTACAATCAGAATCTTGATGGAGAAGGCTATGATTTCACTATCTTGTATGATGTGGATGTTCTGGGATCTATATTCCCTAGCCAGTAACCCTCTAGTAAGGGACTCTTCCTGATTACTGGCCATATTCCTTTTATGTAAGTGTTACATTCTCTCTCTCTCTCTCTCTCTCTCTCTCTCTCTCAACAACAACAACAACCCCTCTTACAGCAGACATAGAATATAAGACATCTATCCTGCCCATCCTCCTTTACAGTTTTGTTTGCAACCCTTTAGATTCTTTCCGGTGTTGTTTTTCTATAATTTATATCCTGCTTCCTAGCTAAACGGATCTTACATGGGCCTTTCTGTGCTCCCCCTCCCCCTGTTCCAAAGTCACCCCCTTCATAATTGTCTCCATCTGTGTGTGTGGAATGTTTGCCTTCCTCTCAAAAGCATGAAGTGTAAAGCCTCTATCCTCTTCTCCTCTCCACCCTTTCTGGTGACTTTTCCTTTGGTACAGTGTCTGCCAGTGCTGTTTAGATACATTACTTCCTCATACCTAGCAACCTTATTTTCAGTCTTCCATGCTTTCAAAGGAATTTGCTCTCCTTTCTTTTCTATTGAGCTATTCCTCCTCCTATATGTCATTTTTGACAGCTTCATCACTGGCGTTTGCAGTGATGTGAGTCCTCCCATACAGCTTCATGCAGCCTTTTCTTTTGCTTCTCTTCTGCCTGCCTGCCTGCCTTGTGTTCCAAATGAAACATGCTCAGGTGAGGAAAAAATATTTATGAACTTTAAGCCTTAGCAACATTTTTTAAAGATGCGGTTTTAAACTTTAGCTTCCAATCCTGAATCAGGCTGAACATAGGTCTGATAGGAGTCATGCTCTTGTTTTGGGGAGTTCTGCCTTGTAGGTTTGGTTTTAATGTCTTTTAAGGCCTGTGTTGGGCAACAGGTGACTTTCTTAATTGTAAACATCAGACTTTGCATTCTGGGTTCACAGAATAGTGAATTTTCTTTAGTTGCTCTATTAATACATTTCTTAGTTGAAATAACCCTTTGGGGGTAACAAATCTCTGTCACTTCAGATCTTATAGGACCAAGGTGTTGGTGTTAATAGAACATTTTTTTTAAAAAAATGTGCAGAACTGATTTGTAAATCTCTGTTGCTCCTAAGAGTCTTGGATTCAGATTTAACTCAGATTGGTTCCCTGTTTTGAATTAGGGATGCAGTCCCATCAGTCCTGGAATTAATTTTCAACTAAATTGGTGTTCTCTTTATATAGCCTAGAGCTAAAGGGCAAAAAAACCTATCAAGGAATTTACACCTCAATAGTTTACACTTTCTCAAAATCTAATGAATATTTTTCCATGGTAATTTTTCCTTATGAAAAGAGAAATTTTGAAATGTGGATCTCTGTTGCATTATCGGGGCTTATTATAGTTGTGGAACAGGAAATCTCCAGATATAATACTACATCTTTTTATATTAGTGTTTCTCGGCTTTGATAAGTTGAAGGTGCATGGACTTCAGTTCCCAGAATTCTCCAGCCAGCCCCTGTGAGTTGAAGTCTATCCGCCTTCAACTTGCCAAGATTGAGAAACACTGTTTTATATCATTACTGTAACAATCAGTCTTCCCCATAACTAAGCTTTGCCTTCTCGTGTTTCGGTTCCACACTCTGTTTCTTGCTAGACTTTAGCCCTCATCCAAATGATTGTCGTGCTTCTTTTACCTCTAGTAAATATTTTGCTATTAGTTATTGTGTAGTATGATATAATATTAGTATTACTGTGTATTTTATCTGAATGGATTCAGAGGAAACATTCATTTTTTTAAAAAAAAAACCCACCAATAATGAACATTACTTTTGAAATATACTTACTTTGATAAGTATTTGACTCTGTGTTTCTATGACAGTTTAAGTTACAGACATAGTTATTGGTATGCTAACTTCAGTTCTGGATTTTATGGCAAAGAGCATAAAAAGTGGAATATGAAATAGCAGGCAGTGAATAACTCTTCTCCATCCCTGGAAGATACAAGAATTTCTTGCAGACTCCCTGACAAGGACCCATTATTAAAAAATTGGTCTCATATAATCAAGGCAGTTGGCTACAAAACAAATTTGCAGAGCAGTTTTTTTTTAAATAGCTTATTAGATTATAGAGGAGAGCTAATTGAAAGCAAGTGAGCAAAAGGTTAATTGAATACACACTGTTGTTTTCATAATGTGGATCTTTTATTCTATGATATTTGTTTGCATCTCTTAAAATTACGTAGACACACTGTTGGATAGTTACTGTTAGGTGTTTCTTTAAAACGTTGAAAGAAATCTTACATCGTTGCTAGGCAGAACGATCATGGAAATCCCCTCAGATCTTGTCTTACGAGTGTACACGATCACTTGCACCCATATTGTGTTAGATTGTTTTGTGCTCTTTGGCGTTGTTGTTTTGCCCCTTGTCCTTATGATTGCATTTGTTAGTAACCCTTAAGTGACAAGTCAAGTATCTTTGCTCAGCTGGGATAAAAAGCATGGTGCCGTTTTGTTAGGAAATAATAACCGTTTTTCTTAGAAATGCATTCTTTTTTACCTAATATATATTAGCTTTTATACACACACACACACACACACACACACACACACACACACGAAATATTCTGATCTGACAATTGGAATGGATATATATGATTAAACCCTTGTAAATAAGTTCACAGCAGTTACCAGCCTTAAGAATTGTTTACTTGACTTCTCTGAGATAGTGACATGGCTATTGAATTCTTAGCAAGTGAGCTAAGAGAAGGCTTCCTACTATTCAGACCAGAGAATAGAGCAGATCTCTCCAAACTTGGCAACTTTAAGGCTTGTGGACTTCAACTCCTAGAATTCCCTCGCCAGCATGGTTGGCTGAGGAATTCTGGGAGTCGAAGCTGACAGATCTTAAAGTTGCCAAGTTAGGAGACCCCTGAAATAGAGCCCTGTTGGTAGCTCTCATTTGTTCCGCTGCTCATCTCTATATGGAATTTCTAGGTTGACTGAGTGAAGCATTTCTTGGTATTTGTAAAGTTTAATTTTTTTTTTAAAAAAGTTTTATTTAGGTGACCTTCAGAACTGTATTATCACGCATAGTTCTGAAGATAATGCAAAAGCTCTTTTCAATAATTTGCAGTGTTTTACATAACAATAAAAGATGATTAGGCAATGCAGCACTTGTAACCCCTCCAGGGGATCGCTACAAAATACTTTTCAAATGGCTGAAGAGTTGCACAGTTTTTGTTTTCTTGTTTGAAATCTCACAAAACTTCAGGCAAGAACTCTGTAATGTTGTGGAGTCCTGGGCACGAAATTGTTAGCCTTGGCAAGTTTGGGGCAATTTTTATATCTTGGGGCATCTACAAAGTGATTGCAGGCATTCCAATAGAAATAATTTCCATTTTTAAAAAGACCATTTTTGTATATACCGTAACACTTGTCACCGTTTCTGATTATTTAAAGCCTAATTACTTTGAACTATTGAGAGTTGTTAAGGTGTGCTACACTATTTTGTTTTTGTTTACTGAATGTAGAAAGTCAGGTAGTAGCCTCATCATGGTTATGAAGAATATTTAGAATTCCGACTGTTGGCCACTCTGCTAAATGTGCCCACATTTTATGCTTATGAGCAAAACTCTCAGCTTTGCCAGTCTATCACTGTCTGAGCAGTAGCATCATCTGAGGAAGTTACGATGTGCATGGATTCCCTCCCAGTCCACTGGAGAATCCTTAAAATGTCATCATTTTTACAAAGTCCCCCCCTCCCCCAAGTCCTGGCTTGCCAGTGTCAATGTGTGTGTGCGTGAGAAGGAAAAGAATAGGCCTTTCCAATTAGGCTGTCCTCTGTTTGCCAAAGCAAAAATCTGCTCGTTATTCTGTGAGCATATATATATTTTTTAAAACGCAGCATAAGCTGCTAATTTTTACCACTCGCTCTTGCCCTGCCAAAAAAGTGTTGAGTACTCATATAAAGTAGTGCTGGTGTGTTTCCTTTAGAAGCGTTATCTTCTATTTGCATAGGAAGAAAATTGGTGAAGTCATGTAAACACATCCCAAAGTTGTTGGCTTTAATTTCTAGAGAGGAAGCAGGTTGGCAGAGACAACCTGGTGTGGATCTTGTCCAGTCCCAGGATCGCTGCAATCAGTGGCTGGCTGGTGTTTTAGCTTGGGTGAGGCAGGAAGAATTGCTCTATTAATCACACTGGGATTAAAAGCTAGGTTCCTAGTATTACCAGATCTAGATAGTCCACAAACCTCTCATTTCCTGCCATTCAGAGGTCAAAGCTGGCCACTGTGACTTCTCATGTACCTGAGGGAAACTCTATAAAGACTGTGCATCCACAGGCCTTGTTTGTTATCACTTACTTTGGCCATATTTTCCCTGCCATAATGTAGTAATTGAAATTAGTGGCAGGAATTCTAGGTTTCTGGCCAGTTTAAAACTGCCCTGGAGAGAACAGCCTTCATAAGGTTTGGTGCTGGCATCTAGTGGTTATTCAAAATTATTTTATCTTGCACAACAATGCATAATTGTGAGGAGAGGGGTATGAGGAAGCAGATACTGCCTCCTAAAATTTTAATATGAGATCATGGGCATTGAACATATTTTCAATAGTCCACATACAACACATACATACATACATACATACATACACACATAGACACACCTGGATTTATTGGCTCATTCAACGTCTTGCGATTCGAGTAAAGTTTGTAAACTTATTTATTGGTCAATACAGGAGCCTTTGAATGAGATGGAATAGAAATATCTTTATCACAGCTGCTTTCAAAGGGTTTCATTCAAATAACACAGAAAAGTAAAATCTAACGCTTTCTCAGTCTGCCTCACTGCTGGAAAAGGATTACATTTTAAATAGGCTGTGATAATTAACTCATATTTGCATGAGTTTTTAGCGCGTGATCGAAGGTTTGAGAAACATGTAAAATTGGAAGAGCTGAAGTTTTGGTCAGGAAAGAAAGAAAAAATTTGAAAGATAGGGCAGCAATGCAGAACTTAAATAAGGTCAAGGAGTATAAGCTGGATGTGCAAGGAATGTTTCAAATATTCAGCGTGCTATTGAGAAGCAACATATAAATACCTAAAGTAAAGTGAGAGCTTACTGGCTTCATTTTAAACTACTCACAGAAGCACCTGAAAAATACGTATGTATGTTCCTCACACAATTCTCATAATGGTAAACTATGGTTTGGAATTTCATCCCAAAGCCATTACTTTTTGAATGAGAAAAAGTGTCAAAAGTGTTTGAGTAAAGAATTAGACCAGGGGTAGGCAACCTTGGCTCTTTTATGACTCGTGGACTTCAACTCCCAGAATTCCTGAGCCAACAGTGGCTCAGCTTGGAAACCTCTCCCTTTCCCCTCAGTGTGGCTGGCTCAGGAATTCTGGGAGTTGAAGTCCACGAGTCATAAAAGAGCCAAGGTTGCCTACCCCTGAAATAGATGTACAAATCAACAGAACGTTGCAGCCCCTCCTTTCTCACAACAAACACAATCACTGTAGAAGACTGGCCAAGGGAGGCTAATTTTCAGGGCCTTATAGGGGGACCTGTCACCTGACTGAACCTGGGCATAAGGTGTGGCTAGGAGGGAGCCAAAATATGCCGGAGTGACAAAGTACCAGGTGATGTTGGACCTTTTGTGAATAGTCAGAGCAAAATAAAATATTCCAAAGGAAGTGATTTTTAGGCCAAAGGCTTAGAAGAGCTTCTTTGTTTTTCTAGATGACTAATTTCTGAGGTGTACACAACAGCTTTTCTGGATAAAACTTTGAGATGACATTAAAATTGGGGATTGCGACATTTGCCAGTATATCAAATCAGCTTCTGCATGCTGGCTTTTCTTTTTAAATAGATACTGTAACAATATTGGATAACAACATTGTAACAGTAACAATATTGGAACAGCCTTTGGATCATGACAGAAGTTGTAACAAGCCTGCCTCTTAAAAGCTTCCATTTTGAAGATTTTTTTTTTTAAAAATCACACAGCATGTTTCAAAAGTTCCACAGCGTTGTTAGCTCAATTAAAATATGGTGATCCATCTTTGTGAAAAGTCAGCCACGGAAAGTGGATTTTTGACAGGTGATCAAGTCAGATGGTTTGGGAGAAAGCTGTTTGAACAGCAACTGAGAAAAGTGATCAAACAATTGGAATAGTTATCATTTATCGTATTATTTATGAGAGCCTGTAATTTGCCCAATTTTATAAATGCAGCCAAGGAACCAAACAAGTTAAATGTCATTTCTAAGTGCCAGAGCTAGTTTCAGTGGCAGTACTTGATTTCATGATGCCACGGTGCCTTGGCGCATGTACAAAATGCTTTTCTCCTATCAGAGAAGTCATGTAAAATATGTTCCTGTCTCCATGCTAAACCTAGGCATGCTGTTTGTCTTCTTCATTCTCACTTTCTTCTTTCAATGAAGACAATGCATAAAGAGCAGCTTTTCACTACAGGGTGGGGCGATTTGAAGGGTGACAAAAGTCCTTCCGCTGAAGGGTTGATTGGAACATAGAATTAACCGTCCTCCTGTTTCAAAAAAGAAGTGCCAGCTTCTGTTATAAGCCTACCATTTTATTGACAAGGCTTTCGTAGGCTGCTTTATCCCCATGTTGCCCGGCCGGCTCTTAAAACAAATTGTATCATAAAAATTCATTCCAGAGAATAAAACAAAGAGAAAATAAAACTTCCATTTAAAGGGTTTTTAAAAAAATCTACTTTATCCTGTTCTGTCCCCACATTTCTTTTTCAGGCACGGGAGAAAGTGGGAAAAGCACCTTCATTAAACAGATGCGGATAATCCACGGTTCGGGCTACTCTGAAGAGGATAAAAAGGGTTTCACCAAGCTGGTGTACCAGAATATCTTCACTGCCATGCAGTCAATGATCAGGGCTATGGAGACCTTAAAGATCCTATACAAATATGAGCAAAATAAGGTGAGGCTTAGCGCTACAGTTGTTGTTAGTTGCGAAGTTGTGTCTGACCCATTGCGACCCTATGGACAACGTTCCTCCAGGCCAGTGGTTCTCAACCTTTTTAATGCCGCGACCCCCAACCGGTCGTAAGTCGAGGACTACTCAACTGGTGCAGCACCGTTTGCAGACTGGGACTTTTGGCGGGCTCAGCAGGGCAAAGACAGCCTGGACAATTCCTATTGGCTTTGGAAAGCCAATAGAATTAGACTCTATTCAAGAGAGTCTATTCTATTGGCTTTCGAAAGCCAATAGAATAAAAGGGAGTAGCACAGCTAAGGAAAAGGGGAAAAAAAAATGGCGGACTGCGTTGTTTGGCGACCCCTGTGAAATGGTCGTTCGACCCCAAATGGGGTCCCGACCCACAGGTTGAGAACCACTGCTCCAGGCCTTTCTGTCCTCTGCCATCTTCTGGAGTCCGGTAGTCCTTGAGTTAACGACCACAATTGAGCCAAAAATTTATGCTGCTAAGTGAAACGTTCGTTAAGTGAGTTTGCCCCACTTTACGACTTTTTCTTGCCACGGTTGTTAAGCGAATCACTGCAGTTTTAAGTTAGTAACACGGCTGTTAAGTGAATCTGGTTTCCCGCTTAACTTTGCTCACATTGCATTGAATTCTCCAACTCTGCAAGCACATGGATAAAATATTTGAGGTAGGACAACCTTATAGCTATCCCACCTCAATTATGAATACATTTTCTAATTCATTTGTGCTTTTATTCAGTCTTTAAATCATCAGAATAATAGAAGATGGAATACTATCTTATTACTATACGAATCCTAAGAAATATGGTGACCAAAGCAGCTGGAACAAAAATTTCATAGTAATCTTTTTGATTTGTAAATAGCTTGACTCTCTTAGTATCTACTATGTACACAAGATTGAGTATATTAAACAAGCCGGTCAATAATTAATCAATGCATGATCCTGGGACACTGCGATTGTCATAAATATAGTGAGGAAAGGGTGATTAGGGTTTTAAGTGTGAAAAATGGTCATAAGTCACTTTTTTTCAGTGCTGTAACTTGGAACAGTCACTAAATGAATGGTTGTAAATCGAGGACTGCTTGCGTATCTGTCCCTAGGTCAGAGTAGGCAACCTTGGCTCTTTTATGACTCGTGGACTTCAACTCCCAGAATTCCTCAGCCAGCCATGCTGAGAGGAAGGGAGAGGTTTCCATGCTGAGCCTAGCTGGCTGAGGAATTCTGGGAGTTGAAGTCCACGAATCATAAAAGAGCCAAGGTTGCCTACCCCTGCCCTAGGTAGTGAGACAGAAACCTTTTTTTCATCTCTTTTATCCCAGTTTGTTGGGTGTCATATTTTGGGATGCATGTCCGATAAGTCTAGACCGGGGGTCTCTAATCTTGGCAACTTTAAGACCTGTGGACTTCAACTCCCAGAATTCCCCAGCTGGAAATCTTAAACGTTGCCAAGGTTGGACACCTCTGGTCTTAGAGGAAAGTGTGCTTTTTATGCATGGAAATGCTTGGGGGGGGGGGGAACAACCGCTGATTGACCATCAGCTGAATTTTGCACTGGATCCTCTTGCTGTGTTGCTGTCGTTGTCATGTAGCTCCAGCAATAGGATAGGAAAAGGAAACGAATAAATAAAAGGCAGTTCCTGCTGAGAGGGCGGGGAATAAGGTCTGAGTAAGCCATTAACAGCCAAATTTGCTCTCTCTTCTCATCCTGAATGAAGGCCAATGCACTACTGATCCGAGAAGTGGATGTAGAAAAGGTTTCGTCCTTTGAACAACCCTATGTAAGTGCAATTAAGACATTGTGGAATGACCCAGGAATCCAAGAATGTTATGACCGGCGGCGAGAATACCAGCTCTCTGACTCCGCTAAATAGTAAGCCAACTTACTCTCACTTTATTATATAATATAATAATAATAATAATGAGGAGGAGGAGAAGTAGTAGTAGTAGTAGTACTACTACTACTAGTAGTTGGAAGGGACCTTGGAGGTCATCTAGCCCAACCCCTGCTCAAGCAAGTCGCTGAACAAACGATCGTAAATTGAGGAGCACCTTTATGATGATGATTTCATCAGAGTCAATAGGGCTACAATTTTTGGATGGTTTAAATGTACTTTGGTGGCCGTCAACTTTTCAAAAATTGTAACAAGCGTTGTAGACCGCTAAGAATGACCCAATTTGCCACCAAATTGTAAGTAGCGTGATCTTTGAAAGCTGTAAATCAAATAAGCGCTCTTGCTATAAATGCTATAAATCCTCTTCAATATTGTATTCAACAGTTCTGAAAGCTGTTGAATACAATATTATTCTTCCAGTTTGCCTTCCAGTTTTCTCCCAAAATGCCCCAAATAAATATCCTTATGAACCTATCTCAGTGATGGCGAACCTTTTAGAGACCGAGTGCCCAAACTGCAACCCAAAACCCACTTATGCACCATTGGGTACCGGGTGGGTGTGGCCCATTGGGTGGGTGTGGCCCATTGAGTGGGTGTGGCTGCGGTGGTAACGGCAGACTGGGAGGGACTAAAAAGTTCAATCAATCAATTCCAACTTTGCGAGATCTTTTTTTTTCCCGCGAGTTGAAATTGACTAATTGAACCTTTTTTTTTTTTTTGCACACGGCGGAGGCCCAAAGCGAAAAGGTTTTATAAAACCCAGCTGAAGGCCTAGGACTGGGGCGACGGCGCGAGTGCCCACAGAGAGGGCTCTGAGTGCTGCTTCTGGCACCCGTGCCATGGGTTCGCCACCACTGACCTATCTTAAGGGACAGTTAAAAAGCCCGTAAAAAGAAACACGAAAGCTTCCCACATCGTCTCTGAAAATGTTTCAAGCATTGCGGTATCTTCCCTTCCTGAAAACTTAAAAAGGAAGACAGACTTTGGGAAGTTCCTCCTGTTGACTAGCCTGAACTCTCTTCGGTGTAGTTTTTAATAACGTTGGTTTTGGTATTTCCCTCTGGGACTATAGAAACCATTCCTCCTATGCAACAAGCTCTTACATGATTACAGTATTATGCATTCGACAGCGACTTGTTGCATCTGCTCTCAGTTGGGCCTTCTGTAGGCTTTCTGGGTCCCTTCATCCTTCTGTAGAGGGCTTGGTTTCCAGTCTCCTTTGAATCTTGCTAGCTCTCCCCTGAATCTGCTCCAATTTGTCCCTGTTCCTTTTGAACGTTGGTGCTCAGAAGGAGACAAATTAGGGCAAAATAGAGTAGATTGTGACTTACCCATGTTCTGGACGTAGGAAAATATTTGCCTTTGGCGCTCCTTGGCTTTTCATTGGAGGAAAATGGTGAGGAAAAATTGGCGTTGAGGCAACATTGGTGGGGTGGAAGAAAATATTTGGACTTAAGATTTAGCGGTCTTAATCTGCTCGATATTGATAGTCATATTGAAGGAGCTACGCAGAACCCATATGCCTCTATGGCAGGGGGTCTTCAAACTTGGCCCTTTTATGACTTGTGGACTTCAACTCCCAGAATTCCCTAGCCAATATGCTTATGGTGTGATGCCTTAAATCGGTGTGGGCAATTATGACCCCTTTACGACCTGTGGACTTCAGCTCCCAGAATTCTGGGAGTTGAGGTCCACAAGTCATAAAAGGGCCAAGTTTGAAGACCCCTGATATAGGTTCTCCTGCCCGAGCAGGGGGTTGGACTAAAACAGGGGTCCCCAACCTGTGGGCCGTGTCCCATTACCAATCTATGACCTATTCACAACACTGGAGGTTTTTAAGAAGAGACTGGACAGCCATCTGTCTGAAATGGCATAGGGTTTCCTGCCTGAGCAGGAGGTTGGACTAGATGACCTCCAACATTATTATTATTATTATTATTATTATTATTATTATTATTATTGGCTGGTGTGTGGGCTTGTGGTCACAGCCCCACTCATGCGAGCGTCACAGGCACTCAGGGCCCCACTTGCAGGGGCTCTCAGCCTCTCTTGCAAGCAACGGGTGCTTGTGTACGCGTGCACACCCACACACCTACCCCTCCCACAAAAATATCCCCTCTTCCCCCCCTTGCCACTCCCTCCAGGCCGCCAACCCGGAAAGATTGGGGAACTCTGGACTAGATGACCTCCAAGGTCCCTTCCAACACTGTTATTCTTAGGCATGAAAGCAGATTGGGTTACTCTGAGCCAGTTACTCTTTCTCAGCCCAACCCACCTCACAAGGTTGTTGTTGTTATGGGGAAAATAGGAAAAGGAGGGTATGGTGGATATACATTCACTACCCTGAGTTATTCATAATAATAACAAGTCATAAAAGGGCCAAGTTTAAAGTCCCCTGCTCTATGGTGATGGTCCTTCCCTCTTGGTCTTACGTTGTGGTCTGGATAACGTTGTAGTTTCGCTGTTTGTATTGATCCATAGGTCTTCTGAAATCTGACAGGCCTCAGGATCTCAGGTTCATTTCTGCATTGTGCCTCTTGAGTTGCACCCAAATTAGAGTCCTTGGTCCATGCATCCAGTTGTATGGGTGGGGCGCCCAGCTGTGTGCAATGCCTAATACCCCTGGACTGGAGGCATTTGGCTGGTGAAAAAAAAAATATGAAATGTACCACCCTCTCTTCCCCGCACATCAATAGAATAGCTGCTGGAGGAGGAAATCCTTCTCCTTCACACACATCATACATAGAATTGCAACATTCAGCCCCTTTTCTTTCAGCTCCACCAATTTAGGGAACGTCGATCCAGGTTAGGAATAGGAAGAGGGGTGTTAAATCTCCTGTCTTTTCAGAAGGAAGTAGCTGATACTATAGATTCAGTATCAACCCAAACTTGGCAACTTTTTAAGACTTGTGGACTTCAACTCCCAGAATTCCCCAGCCAGGCTTGCCAAATTTGGAGACCCCTGCTGTAATTCACAGCCACATCCTTTGCTCTGTGTTTTGTCTTTGGGTGAATTGCAAGCCGGAGAAGTCCTATCTTTGCAGATGATGGGAAGTTAGATAAAAGAGATAAGGAGAAGGAAGATAGGGAGGGAGAGTAAAGAGAGGGACGAAGACTAAAAACCCTCTTTTGGAGGTTGGGAACATTTGTGCCTTGCTGCAAGCAGAGGATATACATTCTATGTCAGTGATGGCCAACCTTTTAGAGACCGAGTGCCCAAACCACAACCCCAAACCCACTTATTTATCGCAAAGTGCCAGGGCCGCATCAGCATTGTAGTGACCTCAGGGTGTGTGTGTGTGTGGGCGTGGTTGTGGTGGTCATGGCAGACTGGGTGGGTGTGGCCGGGGTGGGCGTGGCCACCTTGATGTTGCTCGTGGGGGGACGCCTGTGGGGGCTGGGCAAGATTGGGGGAGATCCAGGGGGTCTCTGGTGGATGGGGCAGTGGGCAGGTGGCTTGTCCTGCAGGGTGAGGCAGGGGGTAGAGCGGGGGTGCCATTGCTGCGGGGCAAGGTGAGGCAGGGGCGGCTTCTGCCTGACACCATCAGCCCCTGCACACAGAGGCCAGCGAGCGCATGGGGGGCGCGCTCTACCACCTCTATTTGAGCTTGCTAGCCAGCTGCTTTGCCTCTTTTGTGCTAGGTGGGACTGCCGCTCCGGGCACCAGTGGTGGCCTAATGGACCTGGGTGAGCTGGCGGCGGTGGCGGCAGGTGTGCCCACAGAGAGGGCTCTGAGTGCCGCCTCTGGCATGCATGTCATAGGTTCGCCATCACTTTTCTATGTTCTTGGATCTAGGATATTGTTGGAAACCAGTCTTGAAAGTTTGAGCAACTGAGCAGTCCTTCTGTGTTGGGGGCTCTTTTATCATTTTCTGTTATAATCTTCTCTCTTCAAAGGCACGTGATGTGGCTGCCAAACTTAAGCCTCTTTAAATCTTTCCCTCATACATGCTTTTTGCAGCTACCTTACTGATGTGGATCGTATTGCCACCCCAGGGTACCTCCCAACCCAACAAGACGTCCTGCGGGTCAGAGTCCCAACCACTGGGATCATAGAATACCCCTTTGATCTCGAGAACATTATATTCAGGTAATTTTCTTTCATGGGCATCTTGATATTTATACTGTGCTTTATGTAAAAGCATAATAAGATAACGTGTCTATGGAATTTGGGCTTTAGCCAGTGGGGAAACAAATGCCTTTTCTTACCATGTTTCTCTGTGTCTTGTTGATAAAATGAAGCTTTCCCAAGAGATTGTCACTTCAAGGTGGTGGAAGAGCTCTCTAGCTTTTATGACCCTGACCACGATGTCATGAGGAGTCCCCCTCTATAACATCAGCTCATATGGCAGCCAATTTTGGTCTAGTGGTCAAGGCATCAGGCCAGAAACCAGGAAACTTTAAACGTGAAAAGGACAAGAAAAGCAATATAAAATAATAATAAAAAAAATTGGACAATGTGCAGCCCAGGTAAAACTCCTCAAGAATAAATAAGAAAAGGACTTTAATACAGGCCGGTTAGAAGGAAGATGGAGAATCTATACAGAAACATTTAGTGGGAAACAGGATTACCATAGAAACATTTATAGAGAAATTAAATTTGACGTCACCGGAAAGTGAGATATGACAGGCAGTGCAGTAAAACAATACAGGTGCAGCTGTAATGCCCATTTAAATGTTAGGAGAAGAGTTAAAGTAAGAACAAACAAACATGTCAAGTGTTATCCAAAAATATGGAACAAAATGATGTGACCATTGGAAAGGATAGACAGTGCAGGATGGCTTATTTTTGTTTATTGATTATATATGATTAATTGGTTTGTGCCAGAATGTAAAAGAGATTAAGACTAATTGTGAATCAGAAAACTTGGTTTTTGGAGTACCATTTAGGGCAGGGTATCCGCCGTGGCTATTTTAGGACCTGTGGACTTCAACTCCCAGAATTCCCCAGCTAGCTGGGAATTCTGGGAGTTGAAGTCCACAGGTCTCAAAGTTGCGAAAGTTGGACCCCCCTGCTTTAGGGGAATTAGAAGCTGCTGAATTTTGAGTAGTTCAGAACAGGTAAGGAAGTGAGGCAGAGATTCATGTTATTGCCATCTTTGCAAATTACAGTGAGTTATAAGAATGGCAGGACTAGAAAAGTGGGAATCAGAAATTATTGTGGCCGAGTTGCTTAAGATTACACAGGTTACTCTTGCAGAAAGTAAAGAAGAGCTAGAAAACCTAATTATAAACACAACAATGGGAAGTGACTAATTTGAGTTCATGTTAAATATTAAAAAGATAAAACCAGTGTGAATTTGCTGTTGACCGTGAAGAAATGAAGGTGGGGGATGTATTTGTTTTTTTGGGCTCAGGAATAGATAAACATGGTAGAGCTTGCTGGAGACGTAAAGAGTAGATCAATCTTAGGGAGAAAAACAATGGCAAACAGAGATAAGATTAGGAAGGATTTCTATGACAACAAGGATCATAACAATAAAGCAGCCGTTTTCCCAATGGCAGTATATGGCTATTAAACCTGGAGAGAGAAAGCCAAAAGACGCTTTTGAATTACGCATTTTGAGATGGTTACTGGGTTTAGTAGCACTCTTGTTTTGAAGAGTAAGAATTAGTCATTCAATCCTGGGCCTATCTTGTGTCTGTCTCTCATATTTGTTAACTAACCACCTCAGTCATAAAACTCTGGGCAGTGGACTACAGAGTAATAACAAACCAAATCTCTGTAGCTAATAAAATAATCAGTTAAAGATAAAAAACAAAAATATACAGATACAGAGGAAGTGTCTTATACCAATCAGCTGGAGCTAAAAACTCTTGGGGGGGGGGAGGAGGAAGGTTTCCTTAATCTTCCGAAAGAGAAATGAAGGCGCCTTCTGAATCTCTTATGGGGAGGAGCGTTCAAGTCAATGGATTCCTGGTGATTGTTTGGAATAGCAGCTGACTTTACGCGTAAGGGGGGGGGGGTTAGGGGACTAGAACTCACACAAGTAGATTCCCGGTTTCTAGCTCACTGTTTTTAACCCACTAGACCAGGGGTAGGCAACCTTGGCTCTTTGATGACTCGTGGACTTCAACTCCCAGAATTCCTGAGCCAGCCACGCTGAGGGGAAAGAGAGAGTTTGCAAAGCTGAGGCACGCTGGCTGAGGAATTCTGGGAGTTGAAGTCCACAAGTCGTAAAAGGGCCAAGTTTGAAGACCTCTGTTTTATTACAACCCTTGGAGACGTCCTTAATACAGGTAGTCCGCAACTTACAACAGCTGGTTTAGTGACTATTCAAAGTTACATCGGCACTGAAAAAAGTGATTTATGATCATTTTTCACATTTGCAACCATTGCAGGATCCCCGCGGTCATGTGATCAAAATCCGGATACTTGGCAATTGACTCACATTTATGACGGTTGCAGTGTCCTGGGCTCATGGGATCCCCTTTTGCCAAGCCAAGTCAATGGGGAAGATAGATTCACTTAACAACCATGTCACTAACTTAATGACCGCAGTGATTCACTTAACAACTTAGCGACAGAAATCTTATCTCGCTTAGTAACAGAAATCTTGGGCTCAGTTGTGGTCATAAATTGAGGATTACCCGTAATAGCATTTTCTGTGGAGAGTTAAGTGAATCAGGCGCACTTGCAAATCTTTGCAATCAATCCATTCCTCCCTCCCTCCATCCGTCAATCAATCAATCAATCAATCTGTTTGCAATGGTTTAGGCCAGGGGTAGGTAACCTTGACACTTTTATGACTGGTGGATTTCAACTCCCAGAATTCCTGAGCCAGCCATGCTGAGGGGAAAAGGAAAGGTTTCCAAGCTGAGCCATGCTGGCTGAGGAATTCTGGGAGTTGAAGTCCACGAGTCATCAAAGAGCCAAGGTTGCTCCTACCCTTGGACTAGAGTCATATACAGCGGAGGTGTCCAACCTTAGCAACTTTACGACTGGTGGACTTCAACTCCCAGAATTCCTCAGCCAGCTATGCCGAAGTCCACAAGTTGTAAAGTTGCCAAGGTTGGAAACCCCTGATATGCAGTACCTCAAGCTTGGTCTCACTTAGTACAATGATACTTGGGAAGAGTTTCTGCATAAAAGGTGGACACAGTGATCAGTTTCCTGTTCTTTCACCTAGTATAGGGGTAGGCAATCTTGGCTCTTTTATGACTTGTGGACTTCAACTCCCAGAATTCCTCAGCCAGCATGGTTGACTCAGGAATTCTGGGAGTTGAAGTCTACAAATCTTATAAAAGAGCCAAGGTTGCCTACTCCTGACCTAGTGGCAATGTAATAGTAGCATGTTAGGCTAGAAGCCTCCACAAAAAAGATGGGTTGTAGCAGGGAATCTAAAGTAAATAAGTATTTCGTTTTCAGCTTCGCGGAAAGCCACTACATCAGGGGTCTTCAAACCTGGCCTTTTTATGACTTGTGGACTTCGACTCCCAGAATTCCTCAGCCAGGCACGCGTGCCTGGCTGAGGAATTCTGGGAGTCGAAGTCCACAAGTCATAAAAGCCAAGTTTGAAGAGCCCTGCAGTTACATGATTATCTTTTGCACACCAGCCTTGCTGGTCCACCAAAATTCTGCTGTTGCAAACATATTGGATACTCTTTTTTGGGGGGGGGGGAATTGGGGCATGGGGAATTGGGAGCATTGACCAATCAGCAAGCATTCACTGCTTTTTTTTTTTTTCCTCCTCGTCCCTTCAGAATGGTGGATGTTGGTGGGCAAAGGTCAGAAAGGAGGAAGTGGATACACTGCTTTGAAAATGTAACTTCCATCATGTTCTTAGTAGCTCTTAGTGAATACGACCAAGTCCTGGTGGAATCCGATAACGAGGTAAGCAAAATTACTGGCATTGGCGTGCGGCGTTTGCCGGGCCGCCACGGCAAAGAGGCCGAAAAGCTCTACCTTGTCCAGTATTTTTAAAAGAGATGACTTGGGATATCTCTTTTAAGCCTTTTCTCTCTCCGCTACTCTACACTCTTCCACATTTGTAACCTTTCGTCCTGCAGCACGAGAGTGAGCAAAACTACGTAAGAACAAATATGCAGGCGGTCCTTGACTTACAACCATTCATTTAGTGACTGTCAAAGCCACTGAACGAAGTGACCTATGACCGTTTCTCCTACGAAGGACTGTGGTAGCATCTCCACGATCGCGCGATCAAATTCAGATGCGTGGCAACTGCCTCGTATTTACGACGGTCGCAGTGTCCCCGGGGTGACACGATCCCCTTTTACGACCTTCTGACAAACAGAGTCAACGGGGGAAGCCAGATTCACTTAACAACCGTGTCACTAACTGAATAACGTAACTGCAGTAGCTTACGTTTTAGGCAAGAAAAGGAAGGTCTAAAATGGGGCAAAACTCAATAAACTGCCTTGCTTAGCAATGGAAACTTTGGACTCAGTTGTGGGCATAAGTTGAGGACTACCTGTAATTTCCTCTGGGAGTCCCCAATCTCTAGGCCAGACATGTCAAACACAAGGCCCGGGGGCCGGATGCGACCTGCAAAGTAGTTTCATGGGGCCCGCGAAGCTGTCCTGGAAACAGTGAGGGAACAGCCCCCACTGCCTTGGCCCTGGCCCAGGCCAGCCGGGAGCCAATGTACAATTTTGCGGTGGCCATCTATGCTGAAACGCTTTCAGTCTTAGCCCCACAAGGCCATCTAGAAACAGCGAGGAACCAGCCCCTGCCGTGTCGGCCCCACCCCCTGGGTGCATGCTGGGGAGGGGTCACCCTTTGTGAGGAATGAAGAAATGCACCATCGCTTGGAAGTGGCCAGCTAATGGCCCTCACCTACTTCACATATCCGGCTTGATGGGCTCTGTCCTGGTCCCACCCCCTTCTGCCAGAGACCCTCAGATCTGTCCCACTCCTGCCCAGGCCCCCACAGGCCCCCTTGACGCAACTGATGTAGAGCTGGCCACCCCCACCCAGTAGGCCACACCCACTCCATCCACACCCACCCAGTAGGCAACCCCCACCCCCAAGGGCAAACGCAATGCTGATGCGGCCCTCAATGAAATTGAGTTTGACACCTCTGCTCTAGGCTGGAGCACTGTTTGCAAATGGGCTGTGGAAAAGGGGTGTGCAGATGCATCACCACTTGTGCGAGCAGCGGGCGAGCACGTGCACACGCGCGCCATTTGTGTGAATGGCGGGCCGCTTGTGCGGAAGCAGCCCCTCTCCCCTCCCCCCCTCCGGCTGGTCCGCAAAGCCAGAAAGATGGGGGAATTCTGGTTTACTCAGTTGCTGACCTCGCAGCCTCTTTCCTCTACATTTATTATGGACATTTATTTCATCATCCTAACCATGGTCTATCCCAGTGATGGCGAACCTTTTAGAGACCGAGTGCCCAAACTGCAACCCAAAACCCACTTATGCAGTGTCGGGTGCCGGGTGGGCGTGGCCCACTGGGTGGGCGTGGCCATTGGGTGGGCGTGGCCATTGGGTGGGTGTGGCTGTGGTGGTAATGGCAGACTGGGCGGGACTAAAAAGTTAATCAATTCCAACTTTGCAAGATCTTTTTTTTTTTCCGCGAGAAGTTGAAATTGACTGATTGAACCTTTTTTTTTTTTTTTTTTTTGCACATGACAGCGGAGGCCTAAAGTGAAAAGGTTTTATAAAACCCAGCTGAAGGCCTAGGACTGGGGTGACGGCGCACGTGCCCACAGAGAGGGCTCTGTCTGCCGCCTCTGGCACCCATTCCATAGGTTCACCACCACTGGTCTATCCACTGCAGGACGAAGGCCTCTTCCGCATTTTTCCAACCTAGACGGTCCTGAGCTACTTTTTGCCAGTTGGGCTGGCAATACTTGCTGATGTCATCAATCCATCTTGTTTTAGGTCTCTTTCGTGGAGGCTTTTGATCAAGTGGGATCCATTCTGTGACTGTCTCAGTCCACCTGCCCTCAGTCCTCCTTGCTATGTGATCAGCCCATTTCCATCCTTTTACTCTCTTGATGGCATCGTATACTTTCGTTTGCTCGCTAATCCACGGGTGGGGTCTTTCTATCTGGTCTTTCCATGGCTCTTTGTGCAGCTCGTAGCTTTTGTATCGATTGTGCGGTTAGTGTGCATGTTTCACTGGTATATGTTAGAGCAGGTAGCACACACAGATCGAAAACTTTTCAGGCATAGAGGGGAGGAATAGACTAGACTAGACTAGAATAGAATAGAAGAATAGAATAGAATAGAATAGAATAGAATAGAATAGAATAATAGGATAGCATAGCATAGCACAGCACAGCATAGCACAGCACAGCATAGCATAGCATAGCATAGCATAGCATAGCATAGCATAGCATAGCATAGATCTGGAAGGAACCTTGGAGATCTTCTAGTCCAGCCCTCTGCTCAAGCAGGAGAACCTATAGCAGTGGTGGTGAACCTATGGCACGGGTGCCAGAGGCGGCACTCAGAGCCCTCTCTGTGGGCACGCGCGCCGTCGCCCCAGTCCTAGGCCTTCAGCTGGGTTTTATAAAACTTTTCACTTTAGGCCTCTGCCACTGTGTGCAAAAAAAAAAAAAAAAAAAAAAAAAAAAAGGTTCAATCAATCAGTCAATTTCAACTTCTTGCAGGGAAAAAAAAAGATCTCGCAAAGTTGGAATTGATTGATTGAACTTTTTAGTCCCACCCAGTCTGCTGTTACCACTGCAGCCACGCCCACCCAATGGGCCACACCCACCTGGCACCCAACAATGCATAAGTAGGTTTTGGGTTGCAGTTTGGGCACTCGGTCTCTAAAAGGTTCGCCATCACTGACCTATAGCATTTCAGACAAATGGCTGTCCAGTCTCTTCTTAAAAACTTCCAGTGTTGGATCATTCACCGCTTCTGGAGGCAAGGAGTTCCACTGGTTAATTGTTCTAACTGTCAGGAAGTTTCTCCTTAGTTCTAGGTTGCTTCTCTCCTTGATGAGTTTGTTCTTAGGTTGTTCTTGAAGATTACCCTTAGCTTGCCGAACGCCTGCCAATCTCACTTAACACACCGTTCAGTTTCTTTTATTGTATCACCTTCCATTGAGATCTGTTGCCCAAGGTCTACTACATCTAGTTCTCCAGATACAATTTTTTTTCTCTCTCTTTGGTGAATCTATTAAACATAACCTGGCTCTTTTTGAAGTTTATTTTTAAGCCGAAGGCTTCTTCTGCTTTTGGCAGCTCTTGTATGAGTGTCTTTGTAGCTCTTCTGGGTCTTGTGAGAAGAGAACACTACATTTATTTATATAGAGAGATGTGTCCAAAGTCATCTGCAGGGAGGAATGGTTGGGCAGAGGAGCTTTTTATAGATAGCACCGTCCCTCAACAGCTTTGTTCATAAAGTCCACTCCCTCAGAATAGCAGCTTTATCTCGGCAGCGACAAAATTCTTTTGTAGAAAGCGAAGCATCTGTCCTTTCCAAGTCCTGTTTCTTGGCTCAAGATCTTTGGGTTTTTTTTTTTTTTTTTAAATGGAGGACTTATAGAAGGACTGCTTTAAAGGAAGGACTCTGATGTTCCTTGAAAGTTCTCTTTGCTGAGAATGACCCATAAAATATGGGTGGGGATCCAAGATTAAGAGCCGAGGTGGCGCAGCAGTTAGAGTGCAGTACTGCAGGCCACTTTAGCTGACCGTGTTCAGCAGGTCAGCGGTTCAAATCTCACCGGCTCAAGGTTGACTCAGCCTTCCATCCTTCCGAGGTAGGTAAAATGAGGACCCAGATTGTTGGGGGCAATGTAAATATATATATACATTGCTTACTGGTGTACACCGCTTAGAGAGTGCTTGCACTTAAAGCGGTATATAAGTCTCATAAAATAAATAAATAAATAAATAAATAAATAAATAAATAAATAAATAAATAAATAAATAAGATTGCTACTTGGCTTTCAAAGTGACTGTTTGTGCCTCGCAGGGTTTTTTCCTGGGTTTTGGGCCATGAAGGCCTGGAGGATGCTGAGGTTCTCTCTCTCTCTCTCTCTCTCTCTCTCTCTCTCTCTCTCTCTCCCTCCCTCCCCCTCTCTTTCTCTCTCTCTCTCCCTCCATCCCTCTCCTCATCTCTCTCTCCCTCTCCCTCATCCCCCCTCCCTCCCTCTCTCTTTCTCCCTCCCTCCCTCTCTTTCTCCCTCCTCTTTCTTCCTCTCTCTCTCCCTCCCTCCCTCTCTCCCTCTCTCTCTCCCTCCCTCTTTTTCTCTCCCTCCCTCTTCCCCTCTCCCTCTTTCTCTCTCCTTCCCTCCCCCTCTCTCTCTCCCTCTCCCTCCCTCTCTCTCTGTCTCCCTCCCTCCCCCTCTCTTTCTCTCTCTCTCTCTCCCTCCATCCCTCTCCTCATCTCTCTCTCCCTCTCCCTCATACCCCCTCCCCCTCCCTCCCTCTCTCTTTCTCCCTCCCTCTCTCTCCCTCCCTCTTTCTCCCTCCTTCTCTTTCTTCCTCTCTCTCTCCCCCTCCCTCCCTCTCTTTCTCCTCTCTCTCTCCCTCCCTCTCTTTTTCTCTCTCTCCCTCCCTCTCCCCCTCTCCCTCTTTCTCTCTCCTTCCCTCCCCCTCTCTCTCTCCCTCTCCCTCCCTCTCTCTCTCTCTGTCTCCCTCCCTTCCTCCCTCTCTGTCTCTCCCCCCCTCTCTCTCCCTGAAACCTGCCATCCCTTCTCCTTTCACATGAAACAACAAGGAGCCAGGCCTGGGTACACATTTACAACACAGTTCTGGCTAGCAGCAGACGTGAAGTTGTTCCTCTTGACGTCAGTTGTTTGCTTATTTTAACCTTTTTCGGGATTTCTAGATACTGTATCTTTTTGAAAGGAGTGCCCTAAAATCAGGAGGAAACAAAACCTGGACAAACGGGAAAAAGAGAATGCAGGGCGTGTGCTGCTTTATTTAAGAAGGAATAAAGCTTAGTGCCAATAAAACTACGGAGATTCTTAGGGCATCCAGTTCACTTTCTAGCTTGTTGGTGACTTCCTGCTACAGCTGAAACCACGGGAACGGAGGAACGAAATGTATTTGTGCGTTTTCCCTGCTTGAACAGAACGATCAGCTAGAGAGAGCTAAAAGCTGTTTATGGGGGACAGTCTTATATAAAAGTAGTCCTTGACTTACGACCACAATCAAGCCCAAAATTTCGATTGCTAAGCAAGGCAGTTGTTAAGTGAGTGGTGGCCCATTTTACAACCTTTTTTTGCCGTGTTTGTTAACACGAATCGCTACAGTTGTGAAATGAATCACTTAAGCCAGTGGTTCTCAACCTGTGGGTCGGGACCCCATTTGGGGTCGAACGACCATTTCACGGGGGTCGCCAAACAAGGCTGTCCGCCATTTTTTCCCCCTTTGGCTACGCCCCTGGCACCCGGTGATGTATAAGTGGCTGGGGGTCACCACAACATGGGGAACTATATTATGGGGTTGCGGCAGTAGAAAGGTTGAGAACCACTGACTTAAGCAGATGTGCCTTTCCCCATTGACTTTGCTTATCAAGCTCGCTCGGAAGTTTGCAGATGACAACTGGGACGCTGCAACCATTGTAAATACATGCCAGTTGCGAAGTGCCCAAAGCGATCGCAGGAATGTGGGAAGGCAGCAACAGTGTGAGAACTACTACCGCTTTATAAAGCCCTAGTAAGACCACACTTCGAATACTGCAGCCAGTTTTGGTCACCATACCACAAAAAAGATGTTGAGAGTCTGGAAAAAATTCAGAGAAGAGCAACTAAGATGATCCAAGGCCTGGAGGCTAAAACATACGAAGAACGGCTGCGGGACTTGGGTTTGGCTAGTCTAAAGAAAAGAAGAAATAGGGGAGACATGATAGCCGTGTTCCAGTATCTGAGGGGCTGCCACAAGGCAGAGGGGGCCAGGTTGTTCACCAGAGCACCCGAGGGAAGGACGAGAAACAATGGTTGGAAACTGAACAAAGAGAGAAGCAACCTGGAACGAAGGAGAAACTTCCTGACAGTGAGGACAATCAACCAGTGGAACAGCTTTGCCTTCAGAAGTAGTGGGCGCTCCATCACTGGAAGTTTTTAAAAAGAGACTGGAATGTGGCAACAGTTATAAGTGTGAGGACTGGTCACTTTTTTTGGATGTCATTGTAATTTTGGTCACTAAACAAATGATTGTAAGTCAAGGACCACCTGTACAGCTTCCGCTGAAGTAGTTTTATCGCACTTCATTATGAACGAGGATGTTACCTAATTGTTTTGCCTACATTCGGGCATTTTTTCCAATTGCCATTTTTCCAGTAAAAGCCTAGGACAGTGGTGGTGAACCTATGGCATGCGTGCCAGAGGCGGCACTCGGTGCCCTCTCTGTGGGCACGCGCACCATCGTCCCAGTCCTAGGCCTTCAGCTGGGTTTTATAAAACCTTTTCGCTTTAGGCCTCCGCCAACGTGTGCAAAAAAAAAAAGGTTCAATCAATCAGTCAATTCCAACTTCTCACGAAAAAAAAGATCTTGTAAAGTTGGAATTGACTGATTCAACTTTTTAGTCCCACCTAGTCTGCTGTTACCACCGCAGCCACGCCCACCCAATGGGCCACACCCACCCGGCACCCGACGATGCATAAGTGGGTTTTGGGGTGCAGTTTGGGCACTCGGTCTCTAAAAGGTTCGCCATCACTGGCCTAGGAGTAGGATGAACTTTTACAGCCTTGGAAATGGCTCTCTTTAAGAGCTAGATAGGGCTGAGGGAAGTGGTGTCTCATCCAAATTTACCACGCTTACCCCCCCCCCCAAATCATATTTAACTGCTTTAGGGATTGTCCTTGCGGGATCCTTACTTTTATCAAAAGGGATGAAAAGCCACTGGGAAGAGATTAAGGCAGTGTTTCTCAAACTCGGCAACTTTAAGATAGGTGGACTTCAACTCCCAGAATTCCTCAATCAGCAGGCACATATCTTAGAAGTTTCTGAGGTTGAGGAGCACTGAATTTAGGCACGGTTGAAACTGGACATGGCAAACATGTTATGATCTTAGCCTCGACTTGCAACAGTTCATTTGGGGACCATTTGAAGTTACAACAGCACTGTAAAAAGGGACTTGTGACCGTTTTTCATACTTACGACGGTTGCAGCATCCCCATAATCACGTGATCAAAATTCAGAAGCGGGGCAACTTACATATATGACAGTTGCATGTCCCAGTTTCGTGTGATCCCCTTTTACGACCTTCTGACGGGCAAAGTCAATGGGGAAGCCAGATTCACCATAGCTGGGTTACTACCTTAACAACTTCAGTGCAAAATGGGCCAAAATTCACAACTGTTTCGCTTAGCAACGGAAATCTGGGGCTCAATTGTGGTCCTAAGTCGAGGACTGCCTGTACGAGGCTTCTCCAAAACGATGAAATCCTTGTTCAACTGTGTATTTATTGTTTCCTCCCTGGATCTAAAATCTCCTTTTCCTTATAGAACCGCATGGAGGAGAGCAAAGCCCTTTTCCGGACCATCATCACCTACCCCTGGTTCCAGAACTCCTCCGTCATCCTCTTTCTCAATAAGAAAGATCTCTTGGAAGACAAGATCATGTACTCTCACCTGGTGGATTATTTTCCAGAGTTTGATGGTAAGAAGTGAACTTTTCGGGAATTAAAAATAGGGGAACCGTCCCGCTAACTTGTGAGGCCACATCCCGTTCGTTGTTTTTTTTTTGCGGCCAGGGGATTAAAAAGCTGCAGTGCACCCCAAATCTCCAACGCTGGAAGTTTTTAAGAAGAGACTGGACAGCCACTTGTCTGAAATGGTGTAGGGTTTCCTGCCTGAGCAGGGGGGTTGGACTAGATGACCTCCAAGGTCCCTTCCATTATTTTGTTATTCTGTATTCAGGCTACAACTCCCAAATTGTCTATCAGTAGGGGACACTTTTAAATATACAAAGTGTAAGCATCTCAAACGCTTGATTATCACCCACGTGGACTATGCTAAGGTGGGGATGCCTGTGGAGAAGAGCCAGAAACTAAAGCAGGTACAAAAGACAGTGGGAGGATTACTGGTGTTTCCCATCAGTGAAGAGGAATACCAGAGGGTCTTCAGACTTGGCCCTTTTATGACTTGTGGACTTCGACTCCCAGAATTCCTCAGCCAGCGTGCCTGGCTGAGGAATTCTGGGAGTTGAAATCCACAAGTCATAAAAGAGCCAAGGTTACCTACCCCTGGTATAGGGTTTCCTGCCTGGGCAGGGGGTTGGACTAGATGACCTCCAAAGTCCCTTCCAAATATTATTATTATTATTATTATTATCAATCATCGCACAGTCAGCCAGATGTTCAGACTGGATTTGGCATTTTGTCTACCTATCGAGTCCTTACCCAGGACCTGGGATAGGCAGATGTGGATGTTTGATGGTATTACAGGTATCGTCGCAGGAGGGAAGCAGTTCCTAGTAAGGCCGCCTTTTGCAATTGACTAATAGCGAATTTGTCAATGCCAATGGTGTTCAAGTGGTGCTCCAGTTGTTTTGGGATTGCACCCAAGGCGCCTATGACTATTATTATTATCATTATCATTATTATCATCGTCATCATCATCTGCACCAGATTTTGGATCGGTGCAGTGCTTTTCCTGCAGAAAGCCTGGGGTCTTTAAAATCTACTTCACCTGAGGGTTCCCCCTTCCCTAATCCTCTGAGGAAGGAGGCAGAGTCCCAGGAAATACAGCTGAGATCTACCCCAAGGGTGCTTTTTTTCACGAGGCAACCGGACTTCCTTGTTTTTCTTTGAAGACGTTTCGCTTCTCATCCAAGAAGCTTCTTCAGCTCTGACCGGATGGTGGGGAATGAAGAAGTTTTGGGACCACCAGGACCTGGATGACTGAGAATCCCCATAGACATTTGGCTGACATCTGTATATTTTTGACCCTTTCCTCCCAACTCTGGAAGCTGGCATTTAGGTTGGACAGGCAGGAAGCAACTTGACCTCTAATAACTGGGTAAAATCTTTACAAACGGTGAAATTAGGTTACGGGTCAGAGATACTTCTGGCTGGCTGATGTTGGTCCCCCCATTTCTAGTGAAGGAGAGGCGTTTTGCTTGTCTCCCTAGAGGGCACAAGAGAAACTGGGACAATTGTAATAATAAAGTTGGAAGGGACCTTGGAGGTCATCTAGTCCAACCCCCTACTCAGGCAGGAAACCCTATACCATTTCAGACCAATGGCTGTCCAGTCTCTCCTTGAAAACTTCCAGTGTTGGACCATTCACCGCTTCTGGGGGCAGGCGGTTCCACTGGTTAATTGTTCTCACTGTCAGGAAGTTTCTCCTTAGTTCTAGGCTGCTTCTCTCCTTGGTTAGTTTCCATCCATTGCTTCTCGTCCTGCCTTCAGGCACTTGGGAGAATAGCTTGACTCCCTCTTCTTTGGGGCAGCCCCTGAGATATTGGAAGACTGCTATCATGTCCCCCCTCGTCCTTCTCTTCATTAAACTAGACACACCCAATTCCAGCAACTGTTCCTTATATGTTTTATATGTTTGTGGAAGGCCAAACAAATATAGCTGCGAAGGTGCACAGGCACGCACATGTGTAAATTGAAAAAAAAAAAAAAGTTGCCTTCAAAATAAAAGCAGTGCAGCTGTACAGGTAGTCTTTGACTTACAACAGTTCATTTAGTGACCGTTCGAAGTTTATAACGGCACTGAGTAAAAATGACCATTTTTCACACTTACTTAACCGTTGGGGCATCCCCACGGTCACGTGACCAGAATATGGCTACTTGATTCACATCTATGATCGTTGCAGTGTTCTGGGATCACACGATCGTCTTTTTGCGACTTTTCTGACCAGCATGGGGAAGCCAGAGTCACTTAACAGCCTTGTTGCTAACTTAACAACTGCACTGGTTCACTTAAGAAAGGTCGTAAAATGGGGTAAAAACTCACTTAACAAACCCCTCACTTAGCAACAGAAATTTGGGGGTCAACTGTGGTCGTACGTTGAGGACTACCTGTACTGCCTATGTGGCATACACTTATTTAGATTTGATTTCTGATTTCCAGCTTACCTGACACAGGCCAGACAGGGACAGCCAAAAGGCCAGGGGGGCCCCCGGCAGCTGTAAAATGCACAGGTTTACCCTAGAGCAACCTTGACAACTTTAAGACTTGTGGAATTCTGGGAGCTGAAGTCCACAAATTGTCACGGTTGCAGACGCCTGCCCTAGAGCAGGGCTTTTCAACCTTTTCACCCATTGTACCACTTTTAGGAGTACTACCAGTCGCCTAGCAAGGTGTCAAAAACTTGATGACCCAAAAAAAAAAGAAAAAGGAAAAAAATGATAAAGTACTGGTAGTCCTCGACTTACAACAGTTCGCTTAGTGACTGTTTGAAGTTACAGTGGCACTGAAAAATGTGCCCCTCAAGGCACAGCTGAGCAAGACAGCGGCCGGCGACGCTCTTCCTCCTGTCCGAGGTTTTCATTGTTGTGAGCATTTCTGTGGTGGATTGGCAGTGGGGGTGGGGTGGGGGGTGTTTGGTTTTTATTCCCCCCGTCTGCTGGGTGGTTGCAGCAGGTTTTGGTCACTTCACATGACCCTGGGTCACTGTAACTGTCATAAATATGAATCAGTTGCCAAGCTTCTGAATGTAAATCACAAGACCCTGGAGATGCTGCAACATTCCAGCTGATTGGTGCTTCTTCTGGGCTCAGCAGAAGCGCCAGGATCAGTGCTGAGCTCCAGCTGGAGCCTGGCGCTGATCCTGGCGCTTCCGCTGAGCCCTGACAGCCCCGAAGAAGAGCTGATCCTGGCGCTTCCGCTGAGCCCTGATAGCCCTGCAGCTCCAGCCGTCTCTCGCTCAGGCTTGTGCGGTGCTGCCACTGGTTCAGCTCGTTCCCCTCCCCCGCTATCATTTTTCTAGGATGTTCACGTACCACCTGCCAGGTGCCAATGTACCACAGGTGGTACCCGTACCACTGGTTGAAAAGCCCTGCCCTAGAGGATACAATGATATTTGGGAAGAGAGAGAATGAGATCCATTGAGTTGGAGAACGGCTGCTATTGATCAGAGAGGCTTTCAGCCAGAGAGAAAGTCTTCTGCTGCTGAGGATCACCTTATGATAATCGTGCTTCTTTTCCCCGTTCTGTCTCCAGGCCCCCAGAGAGATGCGCAAGCAGCCCGGGAATTCATCCTCAAAATGTTTGTGGATCTCAACCCCGACAGCGATAAAATTATCTACTCTCACTTCACCTGTGCCACAGATACGGAAAACATCCGGTTCGTCTTTGCCGCCGTCAAGGACACCATCCTGCAACTCAACTTGAAGGAATATAACCTAGTCTGACCTTGAATTTAATCTGTCCTCCCACCCTCCCACCTGCCCCTCCCTTAATCTCCTTGGGGAGACCTTTTGTCCGGAAGAAAAGTAAGACAAACAGATCCCATGAATTTAAACCAACAGGAAAACAAATCTTGATTTTTTTTTTAAATGATGTAATGATTGCAAATTGTCTGATCTGTAGAGGGCAAAAGTTTTTTTGTTTGTTTGGGTTTTTTTTTTTTTTTGTTATTTTTTAAGCACACCGTTACCTTCGGTCTCGTGTCTGCCCCACAGAATAGCTGATTTTTTTTTTTAATTTGCTTTTATTTCACAGTATAAAAACAACGAGGGACACGTTTCACTCTTTTTCTCTCTCTGGCACCTTGTTAATTTCCTGCTTTTTTGCCAGCAGTCAGGGCAGTTTCCTCTCAGACTTTATATGTTGCATTTAGTAAATTCTTTTTCCTGTCTGATCTGGCGATACAAATGTACCCCAGAGTTATCAAGCCAAAATAATGAGCTTATCCATCTTTGGGAGTATGAAATGCAGCTAGGACCTTCATCTTGTGCCATAAAATGCCTCTGGTGTAACTCCTTCCTCGCCCCCTACATCCTGACTGTAAGGATATGTGCGAAAAGGGTTTATCTAGATGACACCATAAGAGGAAAACCCAGTTTATTTTGCGGTAGTGCAAAACAAGCCGTCCTTCGGTCCTCGCGTTTCTTTGTTCCGTTTTTACTCTGGCTTTTGTGTTCTTTCCCTCTCCCAATTATGAAAGTTCTGTTGAGACTGTGATTTAATTTTTTTTTAAATTATTGTTCTACACATAGTTTGCTACCTATGCTATACTTTTTTTTTTTTTCCGTTGACTACCAACCAAGCAATAGCTATCAAGCCTGAGGGAAGTGCCTGATTGCGTTTTTTTTTTCTGTTTCATTATCCTTTTTTTTTTTATTTTCTAATTTAGCATTTAAGGAAAGAAAAAAAGAAGAAGAAGAAAGTAAACTTGCTTCTCACCCAACGTGAGGGGAAAAAAAATCCCTTTGGTGAAATCCGAAATCTCCACCAGATTTTGGTTTTGGAAGGAAGATTTGAGATTTTTTACTCGTTACCTTGGATCTTTTGTGCATGTGCGTGCGTGCGTGCGTGTGTGTGTATTTTGCAAAAAAATCACCCTTCCTGACCCAGTGTTTGGGTGGGGTTAGGGTTAAGATGGCGTCTGCATTCTAAATCAAGCTGAAGCAGCCCTTTTTGCCTTTTTAGTCCTAAAAAGTATTGGAAAGGTCTCTTGGCATGGTTGCAGCCAAATAGGGGGTGAATGACGTTGCCAAGGCTGGTGTGATTGGCAGCTGCTGCCATCCATCTTCCCATCTCTCGGCCCTGTTCGGTTGGAAACCGTCTCCTTCTGGCGGTGCCCGTGAGCACGCAGGAAAGGGGCCCGTGGAATAGAGGTGGTCCAGGTGTAGTTTTGAAGTGGACCAGGTGAGAAGGGGTCCATTTCTGGACGGCTCGGTGCCAAATGCGTCCCCTGCTCAAAGCCAGTGCCAAACCCCAAACTTTGCTGGCCTTTTTTGCAAGGCAGATCGCCACAGGACCCAACTAGGGAATCTAGAGAATTAGATGCTGCCTCCTCTCCCCCCCCCCTCCTCTGGAGATCCCGCGTAGCAGCAACAATATAAGTCTCACAACTGCCAACGCTCACATTTACAGATGCCGTGAGAATCGGCCTTTTTTCTCAAACGGGGACCGATCCCTGTAACCTGGGGAGGAAAAGGACGGGAGCGTCGAATGTGCTGCTTTTTCTTTTCCTCCATCCCCCACGTTGCGACGGGCAACACTAGTGGACTTCCTCGCACGAGATGTAACGAAGGGTTTTAGGGGAACGTGTTTTGCTTCGACACACACACAAAAAACAAACACTAATTTCACACAGCCGTTTGCAGCATTCCGGCGTGGAGGGAAGGGCGGGAGAGGTTTCTGCCTTTGGATTTCTGGGATTGCCCCTTCATTGTGGAACACTACAGAAAGAAGCCGGGGCAGGGAGAACTACGGTTTTTTGGGGTGGGGTGGGGGAGTCCCTCTTGCTTACCATCGGCGCTGTACCGACAACACACCGTGAATGAGAAATTGTGAAAATTCTGGGAGAAAGTAACTTACAAGTTACTGCAGATTAACTACACAAAAGGGCTTGTTGGGTTGATCGGGGTGGGGTGGGCGTGGAGAAGGGAGCTATTTTTCAACCTCACCAACATTCCTGACTTTTTTTGTTAATTGTTTTGATCTAAATGTATCTGGGGGGGGGGGTTGTGTTTTGGGGAGAGGGGCAAACGGAGTCCCCCGATTGACTGAGGAATAGCTACACGTCGAATTTGTCTTCTCGCCCAAAGACCCAGACTTTTTCTTTCTACAAGGAGGACTCTGTCCTTTGCAAAGGTGCCATGACTTAACTCTCGAAGCCCCTCGCCGGAAGTGTTTCCTTGGATGGAGTGAGCCCCCTACCTCTCCAGCGGGCTTCGCCGCAGCCTTTGGACCTGGAACTTGGATTGGGAGCGCTTGGCCCACCTCTCTCTCTCTCGCGCGCGTGCGCGTTGGGCCTTCATCCCGGACTGCAGTGCCTGCCCAGCGGGCCCTTAGCCCCACGCAGGTTGCGAGCAGCCGGGGGGCTGCGTGGAGAAGGGTGAGGGGCCTCTCCTGTTCTCGTGAAGCCGCACTACGTGGACCAGCTGTCGGGAGGGACGTCCCGCCCCAATTTCTGCTCGTGAGTGTGCCAACCTCCCTCGCTCACCGACGCCTTCCTTCCCCTTCATTTGGGCTGATGGGAACTGGTCGAGGTTCCGGATGATTCCAAAAGGAAGATGCCTTGAGTCCTCGACATCGGGCCTTCCGCCTGGTGGAGGCAGCCAAAGTTAAGACGGAGGAAGCATCTGTCTGACCATGTTCTGTTCACGGTGCACTTTATATGAAAAAAAAAAAAAACAAAAAAAATTCCTACTGAAGACGCACTAATCGCACATTCATCGGCCTGTAGGCGGAAGGAGGATTGCCAAAAAACAACAAAAACCAACACCATTCCATTTCCTTTGGGGGACTTTTGCAACGGTGGGCCCCTTGACCGGCAGCTGCCCCCTCCCCCGAGCCCGGTCTCCCCTCGAGATCGAATTTTCCACCTGCTTTTTCCACCTTCTATCGTGGTTCCCCCCCCTCACTTAAAACACATCGCTACTTTGGGGAGGGCCTGTGTGCTGGCCGTAGGATCCCGCTTGACCCGGAAAGGAAAGCCGAGTTCGCCATCTGAGGTCCCAAGTCTGTAATTTCAGTACTCTTTCTCTCTCTGTGTGTGTATACGTTGTATACTTTTTTTATTTTTATTTTTTTAAAAAGCATTACATGGTTTTTGTGCCAATACCCGCCATCCTTTTCTTTAGTACCAGAGACTCTTTTTACAAGTACCAGTGTGGTGAAAAATTATTTGGTTATACTAGTATATTATAATAAAGAGAACCTGATTTAAAAAAAAAAAATAACATTTAAACATCCTATTTAAAAAGAAAACAAACTATTATATATATATATAAATATATATATAAAAAAACGCTGTTTTTAAAACCTTTTTTTGTCATTTTGAACTTGCATGTGGTGTTAACACGTGGGGGCAGGGTGGGCAAAGGAGGGGATTTTGAATTTTTGTGGCCCGGGATTGGTATTCCCCCCCCCCCAACCGGTGTTCCTGTCTCGCTCTCCCAACGGTAGCGAGGAGGCAAGAGATTGGGCTTCTCGGAGCACTTGAATTCGTTCATCTGCTGGGTGCTGACCCTCCTTTTAGAAGTACCGGATGGAAAATTGATTTTCATAGCTTTCTCCTGAATAAATTGTTTGAAATTGGAATAAAATTCATTCCTTACAAAAATTTCTCTGCGTGCTTTTTTAAAAAAAACAAAATTGAGTGGTTGTAGGGAGTCCTTAATAATAGTAGTAGTAGTAGTAGTAGTAATAGTAAAGTTGGAAGGGACCTTGGAGGTCATCTAGTCCAACCCCCTGCTCAGGCAGGAAACCCTACACCATTTCGGACAAATGGCTGTCCAGCCCCTTCTTAAAAACTTCCAGTGTTGGAGCATTCACCGCTTCTGGAGGCAGATTGTTCCACTGGTTAATTGTTCTCACTGTCAGGAAGTTTCTCCGTAGTTCTAGGTTGCTTCTCTCCTTGATTAGTTTCCACCCGTTGCTTCTTGTCCTGTCTTCAGGCGCTTTGGAAAATAGCTTGATTCCCTCTTTTTTATGGCAGCCCCTAAGATACTGGAATACTGCTATCATGTCCCCCCTTGTCCTTCTCTTCGTTAAACTAGACTTAACAAAGTTCGTTTAGGGACGACAGCACTGGAAAAAGTGACTTAATAACCATTTTTCACACTTAGCGACTCTTGCAACACCCCCGGGGTCACGTGAACAAAAGTTAGACGCTTCGCAACGGACTCTCATTTACGATGGTCGCAGCGTCCTCGGGTCCCGTGATCCCCTTTTGCAAACTTCTGCCAAGCAAAGTCGGGGGGGGGGTGGAAAGCCAAATTCACTTAACAACCGTGTGACTAGGTTAAGAACTGCAGTGTTTCACTTAACAACCGTGGCAAAAAACGTCATGAAATGAGGCAAAACTCAACTCGCTTAGCAACATAAATTTTGGACCCAACGGTGGTCGCAAGTCAATAACTACTTGTAAACTGGATGTCAATCAAATTGGTAAATAGCTTATTTACCCCGACAGTTGCTCTGGGTGGCGAAGTGACTGGTGTAAATTTTTTTTTTTTTATTGAAAATTTTTAAATTTTACAAAACAAATCCCTTCCCCAAACCCCCACCCTCCCATACCCTCCCCCATCTTCCCCAAACCTCCCATACCCTCCCTCAACCTTCCCAGAGCTGAGTACAGGCTTACTTAAAATTTTCAAAGAAAATAAAAAATAGAAAAAAACTTAAAACACATATAAATCCTAAACAAATCTAAATACCTTAAATTAAACAAATTGTCTTCTCTAAAACATAATAGTTGCAAACATTAAACACACATTATAATATACTTTAAACATTTTCTAGTATTGTACTTATATTATTATCCATCATTCTATATAGAATCCCCAAAACACGAATTTAAACATTACTTTCTTTAAATATCCATACCTACAATATAAGATCTAATCTCCCTCTTTCTTTACTCTAGAGCACAAAAATAAGCATATAAACATTCATTATATCATTAAGACTGGATACTCTTTTGAATAGTTAAACTAAATACTTATATTTAAACTTCTTATCTAAAATTTTCATTCAATCTCCATAATCTTCTCTCCTATCAAGAAAAGAAAAAACTTAAAAAACATATAAATCCTAAACAAATCTAAATACGATTAATTAAACAAATTAGCTTCTCTTAAAAATAATAATAATAGTAGATCCCATAAACATAACTTAAAACATTAAAAATCCCTTATACCTGTTTAAATCTTTACCAATAACAAATTCCTCCACAGTAAACACATTCCTTCTCTTATCCATAAACCTCTTAAAGGTAATATAAATCCTAAACAAATCTAAATATGTTTAATTAAACAAATTAGCTTCTCTAAAAAATAATAATAATAATAGATCCCATAAATGGTGTAAAAATTTAATATATAAATCTGCGGGATTGAGACCCACATTGATGTATAATTGGCTGGAGGAAAGGCATCTTGTATCTGAGAAGCGGAGAGAGGCTGTTCTAGGGCTATTCAAACACGTGGAATAATCTGTTGGTTTTTACCACAGGAGGCCCTACATACCATGCTGGAAATCTTCCCCTTACTGCTTTTTTGAGTTTTTGGACTTGGTTTTCCTAATATTGACGGAACACAAAAAGTTTTAAGGAAGACAGGCTTAAAGCATAAAGCAGAATTAATCCTCTACCACTAGTCCTCAACAACAGTTCATTTAGTGACCGTTCAAAGTGAAAGTGGGACTGAAAAAAAAATCACTTAGGACCGTTTTTCAAACTTATAAGTTGTAATTATAATTATAATTCATGTTTATGACGGTTGCAGTGTCCTGGGGTCATGTGGATCAGCTTTTGCGGCCATACAAGCAAAGTCAGTGGGGGAAGCGAGGTTCATTTAAGAATCACGTTAGTAACTCAACAACAGTGATTCCCTAAACAACTCTGGCGCAGAAGATCGTAAAGTGGGAGCAAAATTCTATTTGTAAATCTTTCACTTCGCAACAAAAACGTTGGGCTCCTTTGCCGTAACTCGAGGGCTACCTGTATTCTGTTCAGATGCCTTGAAAAGAACGTGTGTTGTGTCACCGGCACAGTTAAAAAGGAGAATATAACCCTAACCCAGGGATAGGCAACCTCGTCTCTTATGACTCATGGACTTCAACTCCCAGAATTCCCGAGTCAGCTATGCTGACTCGGGAATTCTGGGAGTTGAAATCCATGAGTCATAAAAGAGACGAGGTTGCCTACCCCTGCCCTAACCAGTTAAGTCAGAACTTATGTTTTGGTTTTTTTGTGAAGCCACACATGGCTCGGTTTAATAGCGTTGTGACGCAGATAACATTGGGCTTCAACCCACCTTGGTAGCAGTGGCCTTCTTGACGTCTCTAGGCCCGATGGAAACATTGATTTGGGCAGAAAATTGGAATAGAATTCCTCGTCAATAAGACATCATTCTGAGCAAGGCAGGATAGTTGAAGAACTGACAGGAAATGAGATAGCAAACATCAAGGATGTTTTAAAACCCACCATAGAGTTGAAGCATCCAGTGAAGGCCCATTCAATGCCGGGACCCCAATTTAGATCAGGGGATTCCAACCATGGCAACTTTTAAGACTTGGCTGGCTGGGGAATTCTGGGAGTTGAAGTTCACAAGTTGCCAAAGTTGGATATCCTTGACTTAAACCAGGGGTCTTCAAACTTGGCCCTTTTATGACTTGTGGCACGCTGGCTGAGGAATTCTGGAAGTCCACCAGTCATAAAAGGGCCAAGTTTGAAGACCCCTGATATAGACTTTAAGAGGAGTGGACTTCAACTCCCAGAATTCCTCAGCCAGCGTGCCTGGCTGAGGAATTCTGGGAGTTGAAGTCCACAAGTCATAAAAGGGCCACGTTTGAAGATCCCTGACATACACATATGGATAGCCAGCCTTTGGGGAGCCCACCATTATTCTGAGTCATTGGTTCCACTGTTGAATTTATTTTTGTGCTGTTTTCGATTTTTGTGCTATCGGGGACTCGCCTTCCTGAAAATTTCCACTGTTTTTTTAATGTCCTCCCCTTCCGTCTAGAACAGCAATAGTTCACCTGTGGTGTTATTCTGATAATTGGAAAAGAGCAGTCAATTCCTTCTTCAGACCTAAACCTCCAGCTTCAGATATTCATTACAGAACTTGGCTTGTAGTCCTGTCATCAGACTCAACCTGTTCCAATTCCTCTGAACCTTTCAAGGGTAGTTGCTAGAAATGGAGCCAGCACTCAGGGGTCTGACCAAGCCAGACTAAAGGGGAGCCATTAACTTGCTGCGAAATCCAAAATTGCCTTTTGCAGTTTTGCCCTCTTCTGGATTTAATTCTGGATTTTAATTGGGCCTCTTTGGGTGGAAGCTACCTTTCCTCCCCAGCCCTCCATTTCACCCCCCCTTTGACAATTTGCAAACTTTCCTTGCAGCACTTGGAAGTAATAATAATAATAATAATAATAATAATAATAATAATAATAATAGTAAAGTTGGAAGGGACCTTGGAGGTCATCTAGTCCAATCCCCTGCTCAGGCAGGAAACCCTATACCAGTGGTTCTCAACCTTTTTAATGCCACGACCCCAACCGGTAGTAAGTCAAGGACTACCCAACCGGTCGTAAGTCGAGGACTTTCCCAGCCCGGGAGCGCCGCGCATGCGTGGTGCCTCTCCCTGCGCCAGCCGAGGCGTAGCTGGCAAGTGGCAGAGACGGCGCAGGCCGACCACCGGCTGGGCCCCCAGCTGGCCCAGCCCAAGGGAGGTAAGGCACCCGCCGGGCCCCACCCGTGCCAGCAACCCTCCCTGCGCCCATCGGCCTCCCACCTCCCACCCCTGGCCCTCTTTTACTTACATTTTTAGTAGTTGCTCAGCAGGGAGGGGTGGAAACTTTCAGACAGCTCGCCTTCGCTGCAGACAACTTGCATCACCGTTTGCAGAATGGGACTTTTGGTGGGCTCAGCAGGGCAGAGACAACCTAGACAATTCCTATTGGCTTTTGAAAGCCAATAGAATTAGACTCTATTCAAGAGAGTCTATTCTATTGGCTTTCAAAAGCCAATAGAATAAAAGGGAGTAGCACAGCCAAGGAAAAGCGGAAAAAAATGGCAGACTGCGTTGTTTGGCGACCCCCGTGAAATGGTCGTTCGACCCCAAATGGGGTCCCGACCCACAGGTTGAGAACCACTGCCCTATACCATTTCGGACAAATGGCTGTCCAGTCTCTTCTTAAAAATTTCCAGTGTTGGAGCATTCACTGCTTCTGGAGGCAGGTTGTTCCACTGGTTAATTGTTCTCACTGTCAGGAATTTTCTCCTTAGTTCTAGGCTGCTTCTCTCCTTGGTTAGTTTCCACCTGTTGCTTCTTGTCCTGCCTTCAGGCGCTTTGGAGAATAGCTTGATTCCCTCTTCTTTGGGGCAGCCCCTGAGATATTGGAATACTGCTATCATGTCCCCCCTCGTCCTTCTCTTCATTAAACTAGACATACCCAATTCCAGCAACCGTTCCTTATATGCTTTAGCCTCCAGTCTTATTTTTTTTTTTTAAAAAAAGAATGGAAGTCTGATACTTGAGGCCTCTTTCCAATTCAAAGAGAAACTTCTGATCAACCCCTTTTATTCTGGAGTCGGCTATGTGTCTCTTTAATCAT